GCATCAGCAGCATCATCACCATCCTCATGATCAGCATTCCCATCAGCATCAGCATCAGCATCAGCTGCGGCATCGTCATCATCGTCATCATCATCAGCGGCATCAGCATAGTCATCAGCATCAGCATAATCATCATCATCATCATCAGCAGCATCGTCCTCATCCTCATCCTCATCCTCATCTCCTCCTCCTCCTCCTCCTCCTCCTCCTCCGCCTCCTCCTCGCCCTCCCTCATCTCCCCTCCTCTCCGTCACTCGTCCCTCAACCCATCCACCCTCCTCCTCCCTCTCCCTGCTCCGTCTGACGGCCAGGGCCCTCCTCTGTCTGACGGCCAGGGCCCTCCCTCAACGAGGCCAGATCGGCACCAAGAGACACCTCGCCCACGGGACGGGTCCGGCAAGGGCAGCTGCTGGGATCGAGCCCGCCGAGCCGACATCAGGACGAGAATGATGTCACGATACGAGTGACTCAGCAGATGCCCCAGGAACTCAGGAGTACCTAGCGGCCCCCGTTTCTGGAGCCCGCGCGGAGCAACAGGAAATCTTGGAGGCTCTGGAAAACAACTTGGAATCTGGGAACGAAGCACTATCGTGACTTTCTGCCTCACCGAGACATGCACCAAGGTTCAACAAACAAAACAAACAAAAACAAACAAAAAGAAAGGGCTGGCGTGTGAGGGAGCATCTGGACCGCGGAGCGCCCTCTGCTGTAAGCAGGCTCGAAGCCTGAGGCTGATCTTCAACACACGGCGCAGGGCTCGCCCCCCGCCCCCCCGGTAGGGCCCCCCCCCCGCCCTCCCCCTCATGTAGGCATGGTGTCCGACCCCCCCTGTGATAGTATCGCGGGAAAGAAGGCGAGCGCGGTCAGGGGCTCGGCTCGACTTGGAGCCACCGTCTGCACCCACCCCGCCAGCCCCCTGGATGTGGTTTGGGCGGTACGGCGGTGAGTGGCTCGATTCGGCGCTGGTATACCCACCCCGCCCTTCTGGGTGTGGGGTGTGGTGTAGGGGCGGAGGGTGGTGGGTGGTGGGAGGGAGAAGAGGAGGAGGGAGGGGGTGTCGAGAGGAAGGGAGGGGAGGGGAGGGGGAAGGCATGGGTATGTGTAGACGCGTTGATGACTTGATGCGTCAACGTACTGATGAATCATTGGTGTATGATGTATTGATAATCGTGATGCCTTGATGCCTTAATGGATTGACGATACCTTGGTGCATCATGTCGTGATGTGTTAGTGCTTTGATGCGGGGGGGGGCTCCCCTCCATCCCATTTTTTGGGGGGCGTGGGAACCTTGGGAGCCATCCCATTTGGGGATGTCGTGGGAACCCGGACCTTGGATCGTGTGTACCGCAGAGAGGAAGCAGGGGCAAAGAAGAGAGGGAGGAGGAGCTGGCGCTGGTGCTGGGCACCAGCGAGGATGAGGAGAGGACCACTTTCACTTCACGGCTCCCATTAACGCATGCAATCTCCTGCCGAGCGTTCCACACAGACCCGCTGGGCTCACCTCGCCTTTATGATCTGGTCGACGTCGTAGGGCACGGGCACGATGTTGCCCCCCGCCTCCAGCTTGACGAGGTAGATCCAGGCCGGGTGGTACACGGCCTCGACGGTGGCGGGCACATACTCCGACCCGTTGTTCACCAGCACCTCGGCGCCCTTCTCGAACCGCGCCACTGGCCTCACGAACCTGTTGATATCCTCCGGCGCGGTGCACTCGCCTCCCGCCGAGAGTTTGATGCGATAGGCGTTGTGGATGCGCTTGGACAGGACCTCGATGACTGCGCCACTCTTGTACCCGCCCTGGTAATTGGCCACCACCTCGTCCCCGACTTTGAACCTCGGGTCGCCCTTCTTTATGAACTGGTCGCTGTCCGCGGGTGCACACACGTCGTTCCCGGCGGCCAATATCCGTATGACGTACGGCACCCTCTTGCCCTTGCTGTCGCTGTCCCAGACGGCCATGACCTCGCCGTCCAGCCAGCCCCTGTCGCCACAGTTCGCCTTGACGAACTGGCCGACCTTGAACCGCAGCGGCGGGCCGACGACCCGCTGGACGATGAAGCAGAGGGGCGACCTGCCAGAGGCCATGACCGCCAGTATCGCCCTGAAGTTCCCGCCGACTGGCTTCCGCTCCGCCTCTGGCAGGCTCGCGTCCACGACGGCCACGATACGGTCGCCCTGCCGGAGGCACATGTTGGGGTCCTTCTGGGAGGCGTTGTGCTTTGCCGCCTGGCTCTTCTCGTGGAAGCCCGTCACGAGCAGCCAGGACTGCTGGCCGTCCTTCTGCTGCTCCGGGGGAGGCTGCGGCTCGAACTTGATGCCCAGCGGGTCGCCCTTCGAGTGGTGGAGGCTGATCTGGAACGTCATCGAGGGAGCCTCCACCGCGTCCGGATGGATCGGCGGGGCCGCGGCGACGACCCTCAGGTTCTGCGGCAGCAGGGCCTTGTCGCCGATGGGGGGCTCGAACACCACCGCGACCCGGTTCTTCTGCTGGCCCTTCACGCGCCCTCTGGCGCCGTTCATGCCCTCGGTCTGCAGGCCGTGAGCCTCCACCAGGGCCCCTATCGGGAGGCCGTGCGCCGTCTTCACGGGCGGCGCCGGCGTGGGTGTGCTCTTCAGGAAGCCCGACTTCAGGTCCTCGAAGCTCGGCTGGGCCGCGTCCTCGCTGGGCTCCATCTCGGCCATCCGCTGGTGGTACCTCTGCACGGCGACCTGAATAATCGAATTTCGCGGGTTGCCCGGGGCCAGCAGCTGAGACTCCTCCATGATGGACTGCAGCTCCTTCTGGCAGAGGTCCTCGGCGTGCTCGAACGAGCTCACGTGGCTCGGGGGCAAGTAGCCCTTGTTCTGCATAGACCGCATCCCCCGCCGCTGCTCCTCGATTGGCTTGAGGACGTGCACCAGGCGGATGGCGCGCTGGATCAGCAGGTCTTTCAGCTGGTGCATCGTTGCAGGCGGCACCCGCTGCAGCAATTCAACCTCTTGAAGGTACTGGTCAGCATCTGTCAACTCGAGTTCATCAATCGCCTTGTCTTTCGCCTCGTAATATGCGTCGATCTCCTCGTCGCCTAGGCCCTCCCAAGCGTATTCGTCTGGGATCCCGAGCAGGGCGAGGCCATCGCTTCTTCGCTTGCAGCCCAACCGTGTCAAAAAACTGCTCATGGCCATGGCGCAAACCAGCTGTGGCGAGCTGGCCACGGCCACGGCGGCAAACCATGGAGCAAAACTGGTTGGGCCTTGCGCCAAAAGATGGCTACATATGCCGATGACATATAGATTTGACTTCTGGAAATCCTGCCAGCCCTCTTGGCGCAGGTGGTTTAGAGCGCTTCCTATTATAACCCCCCTCCGTCCTCTCCCTAACCCTCCCCTTACCCCAGGCCAGGAGACTTCCCCCGCGCCTGGCGAAGCCCCTGGGGGCCTCTTGAGCCCACTTGGGGGCCTCTTGAGGACCTCTTGGGAGCTAAGAAGGCCTCTTGGAGGACTGTTCAGGGCCTCGGGCCCTCGGGGGACCGCTTTGGCGCCAAAGACGTGTGTTTTTGTTGGGCGTTTCGCTGTGTGTCGAGCACTCTTGTGTCGCTCCGTTGGGCGGGAGGCTCGGAAAAGCTCGAGACAGTGACACAGCGTGTCGCGCCGAAGCGTGGTGGGCCAGAATCGGAGGCGCGACACGCTAAGCCAAGGTTCCTGGTCGTACTTCCTGCCACGGGGCTCAAAACGAGCTTTTCCTGTGCAGCGTCGGCGCCCCTACACTTGTTGCCAGCGGCGACACGAGTCCAAGACGCAGTCGGGACAGCCAGAACAGAATGGGGCACGACAGGACGAGGACAAGACGCGGAGGGAGGCGGAAGTCGCGGGCGGCGGAGTACGTAAGCACCCCTGAGCACCGCCAATGTTCTCAATGCTGACGCAGAAACGACGGGCTTCCTGTGTCCCGTCGGCGCCCACAGACCACACCGCGCGCACAACTAGACATCGAAGTCGAGGAGCAAGGATTGGCGGCGCGCACAAGGGAGTAGGGGGAGGGGGGAAGGCTTATTAGAACCAGCCCTGCTTCTTAGAAAGCGCGGGCCTTGTCTGTAGATGCAGGGCCAGCGCTTTCTAGGAAGCAGCCTCATTCTAAGAAGCCTTCCCCCTTCCCCCTACCCCATCGCGCGCGCCTTTCAAAGGAAGGTCGGCAGGACTTGCTTCAAGTTTCGCGGAGGGCTTCAGGTCGCCCACCTTCGCGCGCGCCGCGCGGAGGGCACTCGATCTCTTCGCGCGCTTCGGCCGCCCCCCTGGTGAGAAGAGCTGTTCTCCAGTCCAGGCCGCGAAGCGCGAAGCGTGATGGTCGTCGCGCCCCTGCGGGTGACATGGGGTGTCCTCTTGCTTCTTCTCCTCATCCTCCTCCTCCTCCTCCTCCTCCTCCTCCTCCTCCCCCTCCTCCCCCTCCTCTGCCTCCTCCTCCTCCTCCATCCCTCTTTCGTATTGAGAACTCCCACCTATCTGTCCGAATCAATGACTCCCCCCTGTCGCACCCACAAACTTGTCGGTAGGACAGACCATGCGTTTCGCCAGAGATCCCCTCGCCATGTGTGATCCTTAAGCTTAACAAATGCAAACGTGTCATGGATGGAGGGCGGCTCGTTTTCAATATGTTGCTCTCCTTAGCCCCGCGCACATTCGTCTTGAATGTCTGCAAGAGTTTTCAAGACGGAGGGCGGTTCGTTTTCAACATGAGGCACTCGCCTTTAATTTGCAGTTACATTCCTTCAGCTCCCCGCAGCGACGGATGGGCAAATTATCCTCTGGCGACCGCATGAGCCGAACCTGGACCCACAATGAGTCCTGCCAGCGACGATGGTAACGACAAGAAGGCGCAGGAGGAGAAGGGGGAGGAGGAGCAGCAGCAGCAGGAGGCGATAGTGTCGTCGCCTGACGGGAATGGTCACGATGACGATGGCCAAGGAGATAAGCAGTCATAAGAAATAGAAAAAGGTGACGATGCTCAAGATAGCGACGATAGAGGCTGTCAACACGAGGGGGGGCATTCACGCACAAGCAGACGACGGTGTGCAGCATGTGCTCGAGAGAGGGCACTTGTGGCCGCTCCAAAGACGGCCAACGACGATGTCGAAGACGGCCTGAAGGTGTCCTGGCAGTTCCCAGATGTTAACGAGGCTGATCCGCTGAGGGCTCATGCGCCCTTCGTGGAAACCGCCTCGGGGAAACTGGCTGGCGTGGCCCTGTCTGGCCACATTGCCAAGAAGCTCTGTGCATAAGCCATGCGCGAGCACAAACAGTCGACTTCGGGCCGAAACCGAGGAATGAGTTGATCAGCGCCACGGCTCCAGCCCGATTCATTCGATGACGGCAGGGACACAGCCCGTCGCCATTTGTCATTCCGCCAACCCCCATCTGGCTACCAGACCGCAAGGCAAAGAACGCGCGCATCACGACAAGTATTACTAGCCGTTGTGAGGGAGGCGCCGCTAACGCAAGCCCGTGCAAAGCAACTGACATGATACACCGTGATGCCTCTCCGGGCCCCAAGGAACCCCAGCCCCCAGACGCCCCGAAAGGCGCGTCAAGCAGCTATCGATAGCTCAATGTACTGTCCAATGCGAGCTGCTGCGTCCTTGTGGACTGATGGGGGTCCGAGGAATCCCATATATGGCTTCCAACGGGCCCGAGGTCGCCAAGGTACATGAGACACCAGAAGATGTCTCTTGCGAGCCTACAGTTGGTACTTGAGAAGGTCCAGTGGGGCCAGAAGAGACACCAAGACTGATCCGAGAAATGCCCAAAATTCATGAAGTCACTGCGAGGGGCCAGGATCCGTCACGATGAGATCAACCCCGGCCTTGCTTTCCGACACCGCGTGGATCGTTCAACCTTGAACGATCGGCGGCTTCCCGATCGCCAGATCGCTCCGCATTCAACCTTGAACACCCTCGGCGGGGTCGTTGAGGCGTCGACACGACACGAATCTACCCATCCGTCAGGGCGACTCCGAGAGGGCCCAGTGATCCGCACATGATCACGACGCGGCTTCCAGCTGGCTGCATGGCAACCCCAAAGTGACCCAATCGATATGGAAAGGGTGATCCCGAGGTGTCCCAATGATCACGCGATGGTCATCAGGCGGACCCAAAGTTACCAAAGCAATCCCAGAACACGACCCGATGACCCCAACATGACCCGGATGCGATCTCGAAATGGCCCGAGACAACGCCAAGACGCAATCAAGCTGCCGGATCTGCAGCTCGCCCAGGAATCACAGGCACCCTGCTCTTGAAACATAGGATTCATGAGTTCCTGAACCACACCTATGATTTTACAGTCGGACCTAGGTCAGAAAACATCTTCAAGAACATGAGACCCTCCGTCGGCCAAAACAAACAGAACATCCAAGGGTACCCTGCCAGGGATGCATAAGAACATCCAACAAGCACGAAGAACATCAAGGTACCCTCCCCGAACCGACCTCGAGCTTACACCTCGGTCCGACTGTAGCGGGATCCCGCCCAGACCGCGCAAGACTGATGTCTTGCTAGGCTTCTGGGAGGTCCGGGGGTTCAACGCCTCCTGAGCCCACGCCCCTCTCGGCACCGCTGTCGCAGGGGAGCTCGGGTGAGCAAGAATTGTACGCAGTCGGGCGAAGGCAACTTTCGTTCAACGGCGATGTACGGCCAGGAGCCCACGAGGGGGAAATCGAACTGGCCTTGGGAGCCTCCCCTACCAAGATAGCCCCAGGAGACCCCCAGAGGCCTCCAAAACACCTCCATGAGGCCCCAGAGGCCTCCACGAGGCCTCCACGACGCCTGCAAGAGGCCTCCAAGAGGCCCCGAAGAAGCTCCCAAGAGGCGCCCCAAGAGGCCCCAAAAAGCTTCCAAGACGGCAGAACGGCGCGGCAGACCAGCACGGCATATGAGCAGGGCAACCAGGCAACGCCCAGGCTTTGCGCGTTCCAGACGTGCAACAAGCGAAGCGAGAGGAATCCGCGATAACACTGTACACGCTCCCGCCAGATTCGGCGAGTCATTCACAAGGAGGTGATCTTCTCGGGAGGCTCCCCAAAGGAACAAGGAAGCAACGTGCTGGTGGGCTCGATTGCCGCATGTGTGAACTTCTCTTTGTAAACGTCGGGGTAGGTCTCAAAAGCGAGGTGGTAATACATCATGCTGAAATCCGGGGGCTGATCGACCGCCTTTTGCTCGTAGGGCGGCGGCCGCTCGCCCATCGGGGCCCCTTTCGAGAGTTCGCTGGCCGTCGCCGGCCCCCTCTCGTCCAGCTTTTCCTGCAGCTCGGTCGCAACACATACCGTACTGTTGCGCTGCTTCTCCAGGATGTCTTCAAGCTCCTCGAGAGCAACAAAACTCAGGATGGATACAGCTATCGTGCTACCACAAGGAAGGCTGAATACATGTCCCGACCTAGACCTAAGGAGCAGCCGAAAAAACAGAGCCCCTGCTGAGCCCAAAGTGGTCCACCTTTCATCGTCGTGCTTGCAGTTTCCCCCAGGGGGGGGAGGGGAGCGGGGCTGCGCCACCAGTGGCATCCTCGTCATCTGGTGCCGAGGAGGGGCCCTCTCGGGCCGTCCTGGGGCCCTCTAGGGGGCCTCTCGGGCCGTCTTGTGGGGTTCTCGGGGGCTCTTGGGACGTCGTGCAGCGTCGGAACCTCGAAAAGTCGAGAACCCCAAAAACACTGAAAAAAACTACGAGAAATCACTCTTGGAGCCCTCCGGGGAGCGCTCGTCGAGACCTCTGGGGCTGTCTTGAAGATATCTGAGGCCGTCCAGAAGCCAGACAGGACATCTTGAAGCCTTATGATGTCTCTCTGACGCAACTTAAATCCATCTTGGCGGCTCTCGGGCCGTTGGAGAGCGTTCCCGGGGAGCCCAGAGCACTTATGACACCACAGGGCAGCTGGGCGAAGGCCCCCGACCCTGCACCCCTATATGTCTATATACATGTATCTGCCACCGTGCCGCTGGGCACGGAGTGGGCGTGTTCTCAGATCCTGGGCCCAATCCTCTAAACTTCAATCCTCCGTCCTGAGGAATCTCAAAGGGGCCCAGACCCCAAATTCTCAATCTGCCCCGGCTTGTCGCGTGCCCCCTGGGCCCCGTCGCAGCTTGTCGCATGACTTTTTCGGGCCCAGGGGGCCCCAAGATGGGCCACAGCGGGCCCCAAAGGGCTCCCAAGACGGCCCAAGAGGGCCCCGAGTCGCCGAACGATCGGTCGAAGAGGACCTAGATGGCCTCAAGATGGCCCAAGAGGCCTCCAAGACGCCCAAAGAGGCCCCCAAGAGGCCTCCCGAGAGGGCCCCAAGAGACAAAATTCACTAATGTTCCTTGGGTTGTTTTAACATTTGGGCGTTCTCGCCTTTCCGGCTTCCCGACGCTCCACGACGGCCCACGAGGCACCCACGATCGCCCCACGACGGCCCCAGAGGCCCCAAAGAGGACCCCAAGAGGGCCAGAGAGGGACCTAAGACTGCACAAGAGCTGCCCAAGAAGGCCCAAGAGGGCCCAAAGACGACCCCAAGAGGGGGCCCAGATGGGGAACCCGAACGGACATGTCGAGCCCTCGGCCTTCAGGGGCCCCCAGAAGGCCCCAAGAGGCCCCCCAGAGGCCCCCAAGAGGCCCCCGAGAGGCCCCCCAGAGGTCACAAAGGGCCCCCAAGAGGCCCCCAAGAGGCTCCCAAGAGGCCCCCCAACTGCATGTGTATATATACATATATACAAGACTGCAGTGGCGCTTCGCGCCATGCACCTTGGTCCTGGAAAAGTGGTACGCAAGCGAAATTGCAGGAAGGTCAAGCCGACAATTTAGCGATAACTCCTTGTTGCCTTTTCCGGCATCCCCGCTATAATAATGTGATTCGTTCTCCTTCCTCCATGCTTCTTTTCCTCATTTTCGCCATACCCTGCGCATTCTCCCCTATCCTCCTCAGCTCTTTATTGCGGAGGCTCCTCCTTGGAGAGCCTCTGGGGGCCTCACAAAAGTTGTTTCAGGCTTTCTTAATGCTTTCAGGAGACCTCCTGGGTGTATTCTGGGGGCCTCTGGGGGCTTCCTCGGGCCACCCTGCCTCCAACCGCGGTCTCCCTGAACGACCGGGTCACGATTTGGAATGCTTCGGAAGGTGTCTTGGGGCCATCTTGGGCCGCCATGGGGCTCCCTGAGGGCCATCTTGGACCCGTGTTGTGCCGTTTTGGGGCTCTCTCGGACTGCCTGGAAGCCCTTTCGGATGTTTGTGGGGCGATTTTGGAGCCTCCCGGGTGGCTTCGGACGCCCAGAAGACCGCCGTCTTGGAGCGTCGGGAAGCCGAAAAGAGGAGAACCCCAAAATTCACTGAAAACCCACAGAAAACTAATGAGTTTTGCCTCTTGGGGCCTTCTTGGGAGTGCTATTGGAGGCCTCTTTGGGGCCGTCCTGGAGGCCTCTTGGACCATCTTGAGGTCACGTCGGTCACTCTTGGAGCGCTCTTGTGCTGTCTTGGGGGTCTCTGGGACGTCTCCGATGACCCCCCTGATCGCCCCAGGTGTGCTGCGAAGGCTTGTCAAAACGCCCTGCAAGGCCCGGGGGGCCGCTTCGAGGCCCGTCCGGAGGGTTCCAAAGCCCCAGATCCCGGGAGTCCGGTTTGGGGGGGGGGGGGGGGGTGACGGGTTTTCCCCCCGCCCGGGCTTATACAAATATAGGAAGAGGAATACACACATACATACATACATACATACATACATACATACCTACCTACCTACCTACCTACCTACCTACCTACCTACCTACCTACATACATACATACATACATACATACATACACATATACATATACATATACATATGCATATGCATATGCATATGCATATGCATATACATACATACATACATACATACATACATACATACATACATACATACATGTATATAGATAGTGTATAACTATAGATATACATACCTACGTGGTTTCATACATGCATGCATATATACATAATACATCCATGCATGCATACATACCAACGTGGTTTCATACATCCATGCATGCATACATTCATACATATATACAAAATGTGTAAAACATATATACATACACATGTGCAACTATACCTATAACTATAATTACGTGTATACCTGGGTATGTCTGCGCATGTAGGTGTACATAGATATGTATACACAAGTACAAATGAATATACACACATATGCAAACACACACACATATATATGCATATAAACATATACGTATACGTATACACACACAAGCATGTATATGTGCATGTGCACACACATATACGCATGTAGACATAGACCTATACACATGCACGTATACACATGCACGCATACACATCTGCACATGGACATATCCACATATATATATGCATACGTATATACAAAGACATGCGTGGATACACATAAACATACATATGTATATACGAAAACACAGATGCCCATGTATACATAAGTATACACATATGTACAGTCTACAAGATATCACCCACCTGTATATATACACATACATGCATGTATACATATACGTACACGTATACGTATTCATAAACATATACATGTGTGTATGTACATGTACATGAATATACACATGTGAGTATGTATACATAACTATTGCTATATATATATACACGCAAATGAATCGACATAGCCATATGCATATACACATGCATGTACATCTGCATCTACATATACATACACATATGCGTACATACGTTCATACATATACATATACACAAACATGAAAATATACATGTGCATGTACGTATACATGAATACATACAGACACAAATACATCGACATAAACATCTGCATATACACGGATACGGACTTTCAGAGGCATGGCAATATGCAAATACGTGCACTCGCACAAACACATATGTATACAAATACATGGACATATACATATACATACACATACCGATATGCAGATACATATACATGGACATATACAGATACATCTACATTCACATTTGGGTACACATATACATATACACAGGCACATACATATACATGTACGTATACATCGAGCTGCAAGTGTATGTTTACATAAACGTATACATTCACAAAATAATACACTATATAATATATCAATATGGAGAAAAGGACAGAGGAAGAGAGAGAGAGAGAGAAAGAGCCGGGCCGCACTCTGAGCCATCTTATACGATATTGAATGGGAGCCGCCCCGCAGGACTAACCGCACATGCTCGGGAAGGAGCGGGGCACAAGTACGTCTCTCACACACTAGGTCCATACCTTCTGCGAGCGGTCGGCGGGCTCTATGAACGCGCACGGAAGGAACGAGAAAAGCCTCAGGGCCTCCTGCTTTTTTCCACTTCTCACTCTCCTAGGGGCAACGATAGGGTGGGATTGGCAGTGGGGGGAGACATCGACTTGGAATCGACAATACATCGCCGATAGATCAGCGATGGGCCCCCGTGAACACGATACGGATGGAACGAACAAATCCTCTTGCTTTTCTCCGCTTCTCCCCCTCTCAACCCTAAGACGACGCCAGGACGAAGATAAAATCGCGTGAGGATAAATCGAGAATCTCTGGATCTGGCGGTTCTGGAGTATGTCTCGGGCGCCCCCTCAGAGCGTTCCGGAACGCCCTGAGAGCGTTCCAGGACGCTCTGGAACAAATGTATCCTCGTCCTAGCCCCGCCCGAATCCCTCCCCCGCTCTTCTTACTCGTGTGCAGGCTTTCCAGCGTTCTGGCTTGGCTTCCGCAGGGGTCTCTCGTGGCCATGGCCGCGGGCAGTCTGAATGACGTCGGCTTCAGTTCGGAGGCACGTTTCGAGCGACAACCGCCATCGACAGTTGCGGCTTCCGCGAGCGGTGCTCCGTCAGGTTGAACGGCTCGCGCGGCATCAGAACTCTGAGCCGGCGATGTTATGGCAAGAGGGCGCTGCAAATATGCTCGATGATCGGTGAACGGCATCAGTACCCGACATTCTGTGCGCCCAAGCCTCTCTGACCCGGCGGCGATGCCAGCGTGGGCGTTCAGGGTTAGACGCCGCTTGTGGCCAGGAAGCGGCCAATATTAGACGACTGGCGTACACCCTGCGAAATGCTTAAGAAATCATGGGTTAAGAAATTCATAGTCTCAGAAGTTGAATAAAAACCCAAAAATTCTATTCAAATCTTAGGATTTACATGGAAACATTAAGAATAAACGAGACTCTGGCCGAAAATGTAAGTTTTCTTAAGCATCGCCTAAGGTGTATTGGAGAGGCGACATGGACTGGAAGACCTGATGGGAGGAGTCCTTGAAGACCACCCGCAGACAGCCAAGTGATGGACGCATGTTTAGACGAGTCGGTGGCGTAAAAAAAGCGTTGAACGCCAAGTCTCCGAAGGGTCCGAAGAGCTCCCGACGACGTGAGAAGTTCTGAACGCCAAGGCTCCCAGCACGAACGATGAGAGGGAAAGCGAAGCTTTTCTCGCCAAGGCTCCCAGTACGAACGATGAGAGCTCGGAACGCCAAGGCTCCCAGTACGAATGATGACGCGGGAAGGTTTCATCGCCAAGGCTCCCAGTACGAACGATGATGTAAAGAGCTTTGAATGCCAAGGCTCCCAAGAGCGAACGGTGTCGTGAGCCATCTCTGGTAATTTCCTGACAGCGCTCTTTCCGTTCCCGTGCAACCCCAGGTTTCTGACACGCCCCTGCATGACGAAGGCAAAAAAGAACCAAGAAGACTGGTCGGAAGGAGGGCGGTCTGAGGACAAAATATCGATTAAGGCAAAGAAGCGCCGGCTTCAAAGTGCGACGGGTGGCCTCTGAGGGGGGGGGGCTCCACCACCCCAGGAGAGGACAAGCTGCAGAGGCGGAGGAGACACCAAAAGAGCTGCCCCTTCGGGACACAGGCTTCGAGAAAGGGAAAGTTCAAAAGATAGACAGACGCGCTCCTTGATGCGTCTTTCAGCTGCAGCCACATCCAAGCGTAGTCTCCTCGCGGCGTTGAACCAGAGCGCACAATAAGACATACAACAGATCCGCCGACCGTGCCCATAGGCAATGAGTGGGCCGTTCCCAGGCCTCCAAAAACCCTCAATACTGGGCGTTGGAATAGTCCGGGGTCCAGACCAACAACTTCCCAGATTCCCCGGTGCTTTGGGCGCTCTCGCGCGCATCTGCCGTGCCCGAACAGTTCTCCCAAGGCATCGGGAGCGCGATTCGGAAGATAAGCCTCCGACGTGCCAAGATGGGCCCAGTGCCCCCCAAGGCCCCCAAGAGGCGCCCAACAAGCCCTCGATATGCCCTAACAGGCAACCAAAGGGCCCCGAAGAAGCCCTAAGCAGCCCCATGGAGGCCCCAAGAGGCCTCCACCAAGAGGCCCCCCCAGGAGCCCCAAGAGACCTCAAAGAGGATTCTCGTCCGCAACCCAGGCACACTGACGGAACGGGCCGAAGGCCACTAGGTCCGCCGCCGCCGTAGCCAAGGGGGTGTGCCGAACAAACCTTGTCGGCCATTCCAGAGGTTCCTGGTGACCTTCGGCTCGACCCGCCGGTGCCGCGGAGACCACCCCAAATCCTGCAAGACCAAAGCTTCCAAGACGGCCCAAAGCGGTCCTTGACGGCCTCCAGGATGGCCAAGAGAGCTGGCCCAAGTCGGCTCCAAGACGGCCCAAGAAGGCCCAACGCGGCCCACGACCGCCTCAAGACGGCCCACAGGCCTCCAGGACGCCCCGACAAGCCTTCAAGAGGACGTCTAGCCCTCAAGGGGCCAAAATCCGCCGGCCCCCTTGTGGGGCCACCAGGCTGTAGGCGCGGGTTCGCAGTTTCCTGTACCAGTTGTAGCTTGTAGTTTCCAGTGTTACAGTTCTGCTTCTTGCTGGTTACTGTAACTAGTTGATTGACCGCGCGAGGGGGGGGGAGGCCCAAACCAGATTTTTAGCGTCTCCTGGGCGCGTTGTCTGAATTGCTGGGGGGGCTCGAAATCGACACCCCTCACGCAGATCCGCGGGGTCAGGGTCCAAAAACACAGGGGATTTGCCACATTTCTGAAATTCGGTGCCACCCCTCACGCAGATCCGCGGGGTCAGGGTCCAAAAACACAAGGGATTTGCCACATTTCTGAAATTCGGTGCCACCCCTCACGCAGATCCGCGGGGTCAGGGTCCAAAAACACATGGGATTTGCCACATTTCTGAAATTCGGTGCCACCCCTCACGCAGATCCGCGGGGTCAGGGTCCAAAAACACAGGGATTTGCCACATTTCTGAAATTCGGTGCCACCCCTCACGCAGATCCGCGGGGTCAGGGTCCAAAAACACAGGGGATTTGCCACATTTCTGAAATTCGGTGCCACCCTTCACGCACATCCATCGCAAGGCGTGGTAACCCAAACTGCGAGAACTCCCTCGGCCCTTTAATCGCAAGGTGTGGTAACCAAGCCCGTAAACCATACACGTCTTACCAATCGCCAGGTGTGGTAACCCCTCTTGTGATCAGTTGGTTTTGCTGATTGCGAATCGGCTTCGCATGAAGTTTCGATACTGCTTCACGACAGCGCCAAGGCCTCATGACTTAGCTCTTCCATGGCCCATTCTCCGAGAGAGGGGGCCGGCGGCAGGGGGCGAAGCCCTTACGGATAATTGATTGTCCTTCAGCTCTTGAAAAATATTCGTGTTCCCGCCATCATGGCCTTTCGACAGCCCAGGACGGCCCAAAAGGCCTCCAGGATGACCCCAAGGCGGCCCAAGAGACCTCCGAGAGGGCCCCGAAACTGCCCACGAGAACTTCAAGACTCTAGAGGCCCCCAAGACGGCCCAAGGGGGCCCTAAGACAGTCCGGAGAGCCCCAAGACAGACCTAAACTCCCCCAAGAAAGCCCCAAGACGCCCTGAAAGCGCCAGACAGCCCAGAAGTGCCCTAGGACTGCACACGAGAGCCCCAAGAAGACCCAAGAGGGCCCTTGGAGGCCCCCAAAGAAGGCCAAAACGCCTGAAAAGAACTGCCTCAAACTCAGCCCTGGCGAGCCCCTCCGCAGTGGTCCCCAAGTGGTTTCCCCCACGACTGAGGGAAAATGCAGTCCGCTAGCGTGGCCGCACTTCCGCTCCACATTTCACCACACAGTCGTTTCCAAAAGGCAAGCGGGCAGGGGGCGGCGGTGCTTCGCTGGAGGCGTCTTTGACAATAAAAAACACCAGGGCGCCTGCGAGGATTGCCAGGAGGCTCCCTGCTGCCGCAGACGGCTCCTCCAAGTCGGAGTCCATGTCTAGCAACAGCTCCTTCTGGACAGCAGAGCCCGCTTGATAAGAGTATTGCAAAGGAGAATCCAAAAGCACGCTTCCAATATCGACGACGGTCCTGACCTCCGAGTACCCGTCACCAAAAATCCGGATGCGGTCGCCCACGGCAAAGCCGTCCTGAACTTCCAAGATAATCCGCCATAGTGCCCTCGACAGGATGGGGTGTCTCGGAATGCCTCTTAGCTGTCTCGTAGGACCATATAGTCGGCGCCAGACACTCTAAACAATAGATGGAGGGCTGATTCTTGCTTCCGCTGGCTTCCGCCACCCTTCCGCCAGCTTCCGCCAGCGGAGGCGGCCTCGTTTTACTTCTGCCAGTTTCCTCCGCCCTCCTGCCGCCCTTCCGCCACATTCCGCCGAGCAAGAGATGGCAACTCTTTCGATCCTCGAAGGCGAGGCCCTTTCTGGAGCGTGCGCTGTGACCCTGATAGAGCCACGAAACCCGAGCTTAGAGCACATGTGGGCATGCATGAAACGGGGAAGGTGGAGATGGGAAAGAGCATGAAGAGCGAGGCAGCAACAGGAAGAATAAGAAGAAGAAGAAGACAAAGGAAGAAGAACACAGGAGGACAGAAGATGGAATTGCTACGTTGGTTCCCACGTTGCGTGCTTTCCATTTAATGGAGGAGGCGTCATGGAGCTTTGGAGGACATCTTGGGAGTCTACTGTTGGGCGTCTTGGCAACTCCCTGGGAGCCTCTCGGTGGCGCTTTTGGAAGGTTATGGAAGCTCTTCGTGGACATGTTGAACGATATTCGGCCGTTCGGGGGTGTTGGAGCGGGAGCGTCTTCCAGAGACGCATCCCGAACGTGAAAGAAGGGAATTGTGAAGCGACCCTGCTTGGACCAGCCAGGCTAGTGCTTGGATGCATCATGAACGAGTCGGACAGGCGTACTTGGCCAAATAATGGTTTCGCACTTGCTGGGGGAGGAGGGAGGCGACAGAGGAGGAGGAGGGGATCTATGGAAAAGGAAATAATAAACAAACAGCAACAACAACAACAACAACAACAAAAAAAAAAAAACACGTCGTGGCGGAGATGGTGGAGGGGAGAAGGGAAAGGAGACAGCAGAGGCGCAGGTGTGCTGGGAGGGGGAGGGCAGGACAGGGGCGCAGGAGGAGCCTGCCGGCTGTTCTGGACGGGGTCAGGAGGAGGTGCTCGAGGAGTCCCGTGGGGCCTCTCAGGATTCCTGTGCTGTGCACACGACGCGCGCAGCGGGGAGTTGCGAGGACAGTGCTGGAAACAGGGAGTTTTATGACGGAGCTTCCTGAAGAGGACAGGGCGGCAGGGAGAGGGAAGGGGAGAAAGGGCGACGAGGGAGGGGCGCCTCGAGGCAGAATCCATCAGGGCGTCCCATGTGGGTTCCTGTGTTGTGCGTTCCCCGAGGTTCAGGGAGGGGATGAAGGAGGAGCAAGAGAACCCGGAAAGAGGGGGAAAAGGAAGGAGGGATCGGGCCGCTCACGTGTGTTTCTCGGGGCCTCTTGGAGCCTGGCGTGCCGTTAAGGGTCTAGGGGGTTCATCTCGCTTCGAAAGGATGCACGTCCGCAGGGAGTAAAGGTTAGGGCGTCTGGGGATACTCCGGGGGTCCCTCGGGGGCTATGAGTAGGCCTCTCTGCCATCTCACGGCGTCCCTGGGCCGTCTGGCGCCATCCAAGGCTCCGAGGCAACCAAAGAAAGAAATCTTGACGGCCTCCTGGAATGTCCGAACCCCAGACGGCGAGAGCCGTCTTGCACCGTTTTCTGCCGCTCTTCCGCCCGTGTCCGGGGCGGGATTTCGAGGGGTATCCCCCCAGACACCCCTCGGG